CAGGTTTGAAAATTTTTTTGAAGTATAAACGAACATTTAGATCCCGAAGAGTAAGATTGATGAATTCTCACGGTCACAAGATCTATTTTAATTTGCCTTGTACTAATAATTTTCTGTTTACTAACCATTAACTTGATAACCTAAGGCCTATCAATTATGTGATCAAAGATATTATAAATGTCGTTTCGTTTTTCGTATCTTATTAAATATGTACTACTAGAGTTTGTTATCGCATCAATATGACATATCGACGACAAAGTCAACAATAAAAACTGAATTTACTGGCAACATAAAAAAGAAACTTAGCTAATACCTCAGATTTGGTCCAAGTGAATTTGTAAACGTTTTTGACAAGAATGTTATTACAATTTAAGCGATGATATTTGAAGTATTTTTACAAGTATATTTACTTCACTTAGTCAGTAACGTATTGGAATATTAGATAGGTTTTAAATTCAAGCTTATTTTATTGTTTTATTTCGAACAGAAAACGTTAAACTTTAGTCTGATATTTGTTCTCCTAACACATTTCCAAATGATTTCGCAATGATCTATAGTTTACTTCGAGTTAAAAATGTACAACATACATATGTGTTATTTTCACATTTAACATTTTTCCATTGTCAAAAATTTTAAATTGATGAATTATAATAATTTATAAAATATAAAATCCTTATCTTAAAAAATATTACTCATATTCACATACTAATAATAATATTTTATGATAAAAAAAAAAATAGAAAATTCCGCTTCCGCTTTTATGTTAGGCCGCACGAATTTCCTAGCTCTGACGTCCCGTGGAGATGTGCTATTGAGATGAGGACGTGTCCAAGTTGGACGCGGCGATAATACTAAGTGAGTTGTGACCGGGGTGGGCTGTAAAACGTACATCAGATAGCCGCGCAGATGGGTGACGGCCGGACTCACGTGGCCCGCGCCCAAACTTGACTATTACACGAAAACAGAACAGACAGTGCAGTACTTTAACGCACAACGCGGAGACAAAATAGCCTCTCCAACGTAATATTCGATAATAGTCCCCTTGTATTTTTTTTATATAATAACACAAGGCTTATGGAACTGATGTTAAATTTTCTTTGCCACACCTATATTCCAATACACAAATCGTCTTATATCCTCGTGTGATAAAACCTTATGTACACCCCATGTTAAAAGTACACGTAGATATTGTCAAAGACAACTGTTTAGAATTCAACGCATTTTGTCTTGAACAATATATTATTATACCATATCTTACTAATATTATACATAAATGCGAAATTTGAGTCTCTATGAAATCTGGCATAGATGTAGAAGATAGTCTGAAAGAACACATAGGTTCACTTTTGATTTTTTTTTAAATTCCACGCGGACGGAATCGCAGACGAAAGCTAGTTACTAATAAACGCAAATGTTTGGATGGATGTTTGTTATAACGTATATCCAAAACTTGACTGGTGTAAGGATATGTTTGAAGGATGAACAAAAATTTCAAATAGGAAATTAAAAAAACAGTCAATCCTACCTGTAACTTACAATAACTTTGAGTGATTCTATAAATAAACTACAGAGTCTCCGAGATATACCTCATGTTAAATTATTTGTCTATCAACTATAAATGACATTAATAATAATTATTATTAACGCCATTTTATCTCATCAGTATTAATATATTCATTTGTGATGTATGTTGTGTTATAGTCTTAAAAAATAATCAATTCAGATTTATCTATTCATCTTTATAAATAGCAGCATTAATAATCTGTTATTTAATATGCACTTATTAATACAGTGATAAAAAAACACATAAAACGAAAACCAAGAAATGTTTGCGTTCTTAAAATTTAGTTTCCAGGGCATAAGTAATTTCATTTTTAATTAGAAACGTAATACTTTTAATTAAGTGTTACGTAAAAATTAGAAGACATTAAACTAAGACCGATACGTTAATTTCGTATCTAACATTATGAAACGGCAAAAAAAAGAAGACGTGACTCGTCTTAAAAAAACTATATTTATAAAACTTAGTCTCTAGAATTTGGAATTCGTAATAAATTAGTATTATAGGTACTTATTTCTGGAGCGAGAAATACCGAATCGCACGATATAAATTTGAACAAATGTATCTCATTCCTGCGATACATTCTTGTCTGTTATGTATATTGTAAAAATGTTATAAATTATGCGAAAATTTAGATGGATGGATGAATGTTTGTTAGAGTTTGTAGCTTAAACTGCTGAACGGATCATTATGAAATTTGGCATAGATGTAGAGGATATTCTGGAAGAAAACATAAGCTACTTTTTTTTGTTTTTGGTAAATCCATGCGAACGGAATCGCGGACGATAGCTAGTGTATTCTTATGTAAGCTAGTAGTAATCATAAATGAATAATTTTTAAGTAAAATAGAACATTTCATCGTAATAAATCTCAATGTTACTTATCACTAAACCTATTTGCAGCAAATAGTTATAATAATATTCCAACTGTCTAAGTTTGCACAAATAGATCTGACATACATAAATCTTAATTAAGACAGGTCGAACGTACTTGACTGCGGTCGATCTTTGACCGAACACCGAAGGTTGAACGAAGACGACTAATACTAATATGCAACTGATATTACCAACGTTTGTACATTATTATTACAGTTAAATTCTGTTAACTGATATCGTTTATAACCGAATGTTGTTTAATTTATACGGCATACAGATAAATGAGCTTCTATAAACGCTAGTTTTTTTTTTTATATGAGGAGCAGCAAGCAGCGAAAACACCAAGGTGTTGGTTTTAACTGTAGTCCTCGGCAAGAAAGGATAATCAAAATTTTGCAATACTTATCATAGAGTCTTTACATAACTAGTGATCTGCCCCCGCTTCACTTTGATGACAAAGAATACGTCTCATATCTTTTCTGTCATATCCATAACCTTGCCGTTGATGTAAAATACAGCCTATTCAATGATAATGTAGCTTTTGGTTCAGTAGTTTTGCAGCATATTTAATGCAAGCAAACAATAAAATCTTTTATCTTTATATTAGTATAGATTTGTTCATGACAACGTAAAGAGGGATAAATATTATAGCTCAATCTTATATGTTAATAAAAATATCAAGTTACGATAGCAAAACGGAGAAAGTATTCTAAAAATGTTTTATTATTTAAAACGAAAAATAAAACATTGCTATTTACAAAAAGGAGATGAGTAAATATTTATATAATTAATCTGTTATTAATTAATTACAGTAGCATTAAGAAATTCCTTTACAAGAATTATTTACTAAGATTGTTTTCTACAAACTGCGCCGTCTTGTTCTGGAGAGGCCATTGAAGTATATCTTTAGAATAGAGGAAAACTTTATTTATGAAAAAAAAAAACTTTTTCAACATAACACAACACACGCGATGCACGAGACTAATACGTAGTTTATAACAAGCTGACAGCTCAACAAAAACTATACATGGTATCCAGGTAGTTTGCAAAATTTCTAAACAATAAATTCAGATATGTACAATATAGTTCTGTTATTATAACACATTTATACTACAACTAGGCGTCGCTCGCGACTTTGTCCATGGAGTTTGAAATGAAACGATTCAGAGGCCTATGTGCTTTCCCAGACTTCGCTCTACATATATGCCAAATTTCATCGAGATCCGTGAAATCAAAAGACCTTCTAAAACATCTATTCAAATTCAAACATGCAAACATTCACATTTATAACATTAGTAAGAGGTAAGATTTTAAGTGAATATTATCTGAAATAGTTGAAATTGTTGAACATTGTCTCTATCCCTCGGCGGATGTGATGGAATATGCTATTGTTTCCCAACAGCAAATTAACGTTGCAATAAATAGCCAAACGAAAAGGATTTTAGATAGTAAATTTATCATATATAAAACCAAATATTACTGCCATATTTTTTTACACATTTATATCATTGGCCTAAACCCAATAATGTACTGATAAAAGACTTTCTAAATATTAAAGCAAGTTGCAGAAAAAATAATATTACCTACTGCAGTTCTAATTCACAACGTCAATTAAAATAATTTTTAACTCTTTCTACTAATGAACACATTTACACAGAGCTTGCATTATTTCGTAATCTCGACACGCAATATTTACTTTTTATAGAAGTTTTCAAAGGCGATTTTTTTCGGTGCTAACATATTCACTAACTAAATAATCTATTGCTGCTATTGCTTTCGAATTATTTGTACAACAAAATATTGAATTAGTATCATCATCTCCCCTGCCTTATCCTACTCCCGTAAGGTCAGCGCACCGGGTTTTCGTCCTCCACATAACTCTATCATCCGTCATCTCAGTCATCAATCCCTTCTTGATCATGTCACCTTTCACGTAATCCATCCATCTCTTTTTAGGTCTACCTCTACCGGTGTACCCCTCCACATTCATAACTAAAGTCCGTCTTGTTACATTAGAATATTGAATTAGTATAAAAATAATAAATATCAGACATACTTGTATTTATAGTATACAATTACTATTATTATAATTATAATTATAATGTGCGATTAAACTTTACAATAAACATTGTTTTTAAATACCAGGCACGTTGAAAAATACTAATATAGTCTGATATGAAAAAAACTTCATGCTACCAAAAATAAAAATAAAATAATTTTAGGTATTACAAGCAAATTAATGCCCAAATTGTGAACATAATTGTTACAAATCCAAGTTAATAGATGGTTTATATCTGGTTAAATGTAGGGAGGATAGGCATCTACTAAGCTAACGAGTACCGTCTTTCGCTCACACCACCACTTCATAATATCCTAGCATCGTGGTCAAAGGCTGGTTTATTCATTGTAAAAAACGTAGGTAACTGTAATGGCTATTTTTTACAATTTCATAGACATTTGTATTTGTACAAGCAATAATTAGAAAAACACTTGTAGAATAGTTTAGCGTATCTGTCAGTAACCGGGCTCGAGTTTTAAGATGAATAAACAATAGAAATAGTTACCTGAAATAATCGTTTTTGCAGAAAATATTGCTGTCGCGAGCGTAACATCGTTGTTCGGAGTCGAGGGGCATCTTGCACTCGCAGCACCTGAGGCAGGGGGTGTGCCAGCGGCGCTCGAGGGCCAGGAGGTAGAACCTGTCGGTGATGCGGGAGCCGCAGCCAGCGCACGCCTCTTCCGGCGGGGGCGCGGGGGGCTCGTCCGGCGGCTCGCGCTTGCGGCACGAGGTGCAGTCGCGGGGGGAGGCCGGCGACGTCGCCGTCGCCACCGGCGACAACTCGCCCCCTTGCTCGTACGCCGAAGGCAGGTACCGCTCACTCTGTTGCTGAAACAATAACACAAGTTATAATACAAGCGAAATAGAATCGATCCATTTAGGCCTACTACTTTGACTTTTAAGAGGTAGGATCTACTAAAAACGCGTATTCTCCCTTTTCAAATAGAAACGAACAACAATAAAAATCATTTGCTTGCTTGTGCGCATGTTTTGTATGTTTAATTTTAGTGAGCATGCGTTATTTTCTATGTACGTAATGCTATGCAATTGTGTGTTTGTCTTCTTTACACCAGGGACGCGAAAAATGGCAGAGTTTATATAGTACAACGGAACACTGTAATGAGATTGTATTAGTACAAAGAAACATCTTTGCATAGTCCGAGAAAATCTTAGTCCTATCGCGAGAAATTATCATTAAAATGAAATGGATGTACGGTCACAAGATACTAAAATGTTGCGGCTACTTTTACAACAGGCGCGAATGGAAATAGATAATTGACTCCCTCTTTTTTCATACAGATTAAAATTGAAATCCAGATTCTAAAAAGATCCTTACGTACGCTCGGTACGTCTAATGCAACTTTTTGTGATAAAAGTGTAACATTTGTTTAATTGCGCCTTTATTACAATAGTCATTAGTACCTAAAAAAGCATTAATTATTAATAATGTATCACGTATAGATAGTCATACATAAACATACCGCCCAATTTGTAAGTAATGAACCGTTATTGCCGAAATAATAATGGAAGAAAATTCTTAGAAGTAAGATAATAATTCCTTTGTACACTTATAAAGACATCACGAGAAAAACATTTTTCCCCGTACCGTTGTATATCTCGCATGATTGGATAAAAGGTTAATAGGACTAAATCGAGTATGAAATCTTATTAGTTACATCATTTACAATATTTCTAATTGCTATAATAAATATGAGGGTAACATTATTTATCACTAGCTTTTGCCGCGACTGCGTCCGTACGTTTTAAAAGTTCACCTTTGTCTGGCTAATTATTTTTTTCAGTAACTGATATTCAATCTTTAGATATAAGAATATTTTAAGTAACTTTTAATGACACATTTAACAAGATTGAATTATAAATATTTACGAAATTAAATTGTATTAAGACCATAGGAATGTAAACTTTGTCTCTTATTTTTAAAGACATTTAAATCGAAAACTGTACATAAATGTGTTCTCAAAGATAATTTTTTTTTGTTATAGAAATGTAATCGTAATAGGAAACATACTTTGCCGTGGCACTTGATGCTGCATCCATCATACTTCCGTCAAGTCTCTCATGAAACGTGCTCGTAGCTTAGCATAAAAAGATGGGAGAATACATAAAGGCCCGGGAGCGGTGGGCTCATTAATTAACTTTTAGTGGAGATTAAAAGGAAATTTTCTTTCGAGCACTTTTTTTAATGACAAAGCTTTTACATGCGATTTTTTCATCAAATGATGACGGATTTTTTTAATTGAAACATGAATAAAATGTGTGAATGTTGGATAGGCGCAAAAAGTACACCAGGATCGCGCCAAATGGAAATCAATCTCTACCTACCCCTCTAGGTCGTACCCCTACCCCTCTAAGCGTGGGTTGTGATGTTTTTATCTTGTAAGAAATACTATGTAGGTATTGTAAACATGTATGTTTTCTAGTTTCTCCTTTAAACTAAAATTTCATACTAATTTGTATTTATAGTGAAAAACAGAATCATAATGCAATTTTATAGTTTCATTATCAGATAATAGGTAAACACGAAAATAAATGAAACTACTGAACTTTGTGTATCCTTATCTATGAGTACAGTCTATAAATAATTTTAAACAAACTTGCTTTGCTGTGTCTGTTTGTCTACGAAGATAAAACTATAGATGTACTTCATAACAATTACATATAACTAGCTGTTGCTCGCGATTCCGTCCGCGTGCAATTAAAAAACGAAAGTGAGTAGTCTATAAGTTCTTCCTGCCTATCCTCTACACCTTTGCAAATTTCATCGAGATCCGTTCAGCCGTTTACGCTACATACTCTAACAAACATCCATCCATCCATCTAAATTTTCACATTTATAATATTAGTGTGAGTTACCAAATTTTGAGTAAGTTACCAACTGTTAGTTAAAAAACAAACAATCCGTATCCGGGAAAAACGTGAAAAGATACCAGTACATTTTTTAAATTCTCTCTGGCATATACTAGTTTGTAATACGCTATACACAGATTCTAAACACACTAATAGAATAGACGTAGCAGGTACACGTATCTTGTCTACATATAATTCTTCAAGTATGGAGTATAATCACTATTACGTATAAAAACTTTATACATTTTTTTATTACACAACGACATAATAAACTATACATATGTATGTATAATGATTATTACATCGTTTCGACATATAAGGTTATCTTACTGTCATAAAAGTCGCAGCTGTTTGAACTTAAATATAATTTGTATACAAATATACTAAAGTAGATTAGTGCGTATCGGAGAGTAATTTAAGCAAACAAATGGACCGGTTTAGTGTACCCTTTTTATAAAGAAGGGATTGTGATTGCAAACTTTAAATGCCGACGCGCTTCGGCCAGCCGCCACTACGGAACTATACACATGTATGTTTTAATTTTATAAAAATAAGAAACTGCAAATTACCAATAACTTTAGTAAAAACTTTTTAGCAATGGATAATTTTAATAATACGAACTACTTAACATGTACTTTTTTTCTAAATCAGCTTCACAAATAATTTAACATCTACCCTTCAGATAAGAGCGTTTTCTTATTTGAATGTGGAATCGTTTTGTATAGTGCGCCACCAGCGCCTAAATAGTACTTGTATAAAATGGACAAATAACTGCAATTAATACGTTTCAATACAGCACCGAACATATGTCTGGCGAGTTTAAGCAACTGGCCATTTAATTAATGTATCGGCGCGCCAGCGGCCTTTGCCAACATCTTGGCAGTGACATGTTACACCAATATGTCTGCCGATTTTGATTTTAAATACATACAAACTGCGCTTTAACTCAAACTATTTCTTACTATGTTTACCTACAAATTTACACACTTTACTTACTTTTACTTTACTTCTAAAGCTTACTCATTGTTATAAATGCGAAAGTTTGGATAGATCCATGGATTTATAACAGATGATATTAATAACAGTTGAACTGATCTAGATTAAATATCGAACAGAGATATATTATAGTCTGCTGTAACATGTAGCCTACATTTTATCCCGGAATTTACAAAACTACGAGTAGCAGGATTTATTTATTTTTGCTTTCGACTTAATGTCTCAACAATGATTAAAATATTTAGTTTGTTTTTAATTCCACGGTGAAATTTAATTTCGTACATTTTTATTGATCACCAAAGATAAAACTTAACACAAATTACATTTCTAGCTTCCTTAAATTTAATTTCTTATAAACCTTTGTAAGCCAAGGAGCAAGAGGTGGGTGTATTTAGAAAAGAATTTGAAATTCAAACATCTATTTTACAACTGAAGCGTTGATAAAATTTCCTTGGAACTCTTACAATTTATTTAAATGCAGTCGTTTACTTCGACTTTTCACAAGGCGTCAGTAACTTGAGCTGTTTCATTGAATTTTCAAGTCGACTGCAATTCCCGCAATCGGCGACTATCTTCTCGGAAATTATTTCAAATAAAATCATAAAATGGTAGAGCTAATAATTTAATGATCTCATTTGGAACACCCAACTACATATATTGCAATAATTCCCGGATTGTCGGAATAAATCGTAGAAATTTTCTCACTCATAAAATTACAATTAAATACACTTTATTTTATCTTTAATAAAGAATAAACGAATGGTATTGTCTAGGTCAGTTACAATATGAAAGATAATTTTGCTTTCATTAATAAATTACTCTCAAAATAGTAAGACGTAATTATCTTATAAAAATGAATCTCTATTTCCCTTGGCCACGGATTCACGAACGACTGGACCAATTTCGCTAATTCTTTTCTGTCGTGATTGTTACTGTCGGAAGATAGAAAATAACTCTATTAAATTTGGAATAGATATAAATAGTGACACAGTTTTCGAGGCTTACTTATTAAGATTTTTTCAATTTCGCGCCAAAAAACTCCATCCATAACATGTATTAATTAACTGAGAATAATGTGCAAAGTTTGATGAGTCGTCCATTCTCGGACACAGTGAAAATCAATTTATTTAATGGACTTAAAATTATTTGCTTCACTCACAGTTAAGTAACGGCAAAGAGAATCGTTGTTACGGAATGAACGAGATCTTCAGAGCGTAACATTCCGGGTTTTCATCTTGATAAGAGGAAATCCTTAGCTTAAAGATTTATGCTCGTTGCAATGACCTGTGGACACTCAAGTAGGTCGTGCTCTCATAATTGATGCTATTTACTTCATATTTGTTTTAATTGCCACTTTCAAATATGTATTTTGCTCATCTACTCCTTGCAAGTCACCGTAACAGTGAGCATCCCTAAACAATTAATACGTTAGAAAATGTTTATAATAAATCAGGAACTACAATCTATAAGCCTTAGTTTACTTACATAAACAGCTTAGCCTGATTGTTGTAAGGTTTAACTATTTCTTTCTGTTTTCACTTAATCTTTGTTTCAAAAATGTAATAACAGAAAATTATCGACATTTTATAATTTATAAGGTTATAACTTTAACATATTATTATATTATACATTGATTACCTCAGTCCCAGAATCTTTTATTAAATTACTAACTTTTGCCCGCGACTCCGGACCGGAATTAAAAAAACAAAAGTGAGTAGCCTATGTGTTATTCCAGACTATCCTTTACATTTGTACCAAATTTCATCGAATTCGTTCAGCCGTCTAGGCTACAAACATCCACCCATTTAAACTTTCGCTTTTATAATATTAGTATGATTACAAACTATACAAAGAATTGATTACTTTAGGAACAACATAAATGTAACATCATATTACAACAAGTTAAATGTAAAATAAATTTAAATCCACCCTCGCTTTCCATTAGGATATTATATCAAAGGTATTAACCTATCTGTGCTAATTAGTCAATAAGGTGAAACTTTCAACAGCCCACAATTCCATTATTAAATTCATGGATGCTTTTAATCTAGCATTTATGGATAAATCCAGCATACATTCACAAATAAATAAAAACTTAAAACTACATCGAAAATGTATTTATTTTTATCTACCATACACTTCTGTATTAATATTATAAAGCGTAAACAGACAATTATTCGGGGCATAAGATGTCAGCATTAACAACATATTTTTGAATAATTCTGTCTCTGATACAAACCTTACGACATGCTTTAAGCTATATATTAAATAATTTGAAAAAAAAAACTTCATTTGGGAAAGGGACCATAAACTACAAGCTGCCAATGTTAAGGAAGCAAGGTTTGGCATTTGCAATTGAGAATTTGAGAAATGTAAACAACAAAATAAAGTTTTTATGATTGCATGCAGATGAAGCCGCACGGGAACAGCTTGTTTCGTAATAAATGTACTATGATACAATTTCAAAAATATGTACTAAAATAATGTATAAAACTTACTAACTACTTAGTATTTCGTTAAATACGAGGTTAGGGATGTAAATTACATCATATCTTAGTAATTATTATATTACAGATTTTATTTAATTAACACCATTTGTATCAATGGCTATCTCCTACTGTATTTATTAAAAAAACTGTTTTAGCATAGAATATTTAAGAAAAAACGAAAATACGAAGCAATTAAAACGAAATATTGAGTGTCTGGTTTGTATAAATATTTACAGCTAATAAAAAACCGAAAAAAGTTTAAATAAAATCAAAAGAAAACTTAAAAATAAACATGCACACAAAATGTAGTAAATTGGTCTCAAAATAAATTTTCTATCTCAAAATCTAGATTTTAATTTACGATATTTCAATACCTTACTATTAAAATTCAAGCATTAAAATATCACTGACCTAAAGTTAACTACTATAACTGCACACAATAATACGAGTTTAAAAAAAACATATGTAAATTACGTTTACAGTAAGATATTTCTTTTCACTCATTATAAACTATAAAAGAATACATCTTACTTCGCATTGTACTATAAATGGGAAAGTTGGATGGATGGATATTTGTTACTACGTAGATCCAAAATACCACAACGGATCTCGGTAAAATTTATCACAGATATATTACATAGTCTAGAAGAACACATAGATTATTTACTAAGTATTTTAATCCGCCAAGACGATATCGCAGGCAAAAACTAGTAGTACTGCTATAAAAAGGAAAGATTTGTATGTGTGTTCGTTAGAATCGAATAATCTAAAAAAATCTAATGTTATTTCATCTCTAAAAATCACAAGCTGTATTTTATTAATAAAAATAATACTTAAATATTATTAATTATTTAAAAATAACTGTCAAGCCGTGCAAATCCAAGGCGGGCTGCTAGTTTAATATAAATCGGTAATGAAAACATATGTTTTTAAAAGATGTATACTTAGAATTCAGTCTAATGAGTGTTATTTATTTATTGTTTGACATTTCACTGGATAACTTTAAAATATAATCTACGATTATTCAACACACAATAATACAATAATGCGATACAAAACGAATAGTGCTTCGAACAAAAGAAAAAACATATTTATTTTACAAAAGTGTCATTTGAATTTGTTAAATGAAGGCAATAAATAAAATTAGTATAAAAACAAAAAGTTAGAAGGTTCTAAATGTAGGAGCAAAAGTAACGTCTCGCGTCGCGTCGCGCCGACGGCGGCGGCGGCTGTCTAATCGGCTTTTGATAAAACTAAAGTTCAAATTGAATTCTTGTGTTTCTAAAATTTATTTAATTTTATTACACCAACAATCGGTATTACAAATGTTTATTGATTGTACTTGCTAAAAACTTAATTGGCTCTTCGCACCTATTAGTCAATAATACAGTAAGAAAGAAATTATTGAAAGAGCGAATCTCTATTTTTAACAATTGAACATAATAAAAACTTGCGGCCGAATTAAGCGAATGGAAAATCAATAACACAATTATTTAAATGTTTAATACAAGTATTTGTTAGTCGAAACTCAAGGGTATATAACACCCCTTATCGCATTCCATTTTAATATTATTTTTTGGTGTCGATTTGATGTGAAGAAGTTAAATTAACTGATGTTAACTGTAGCAATGTTATTTGCGGCAGATTTACAAAGCCAAACCGTGCTTCAAATAATAAAACTCATAATTTGCATCTTTTTTTGGATGTAATTGTACGTAAATTAAATTGTGAATCAGAATTGAAATTAACTTAATTACCATTATGTTCAGGATTGTATAATACGAGTAAACACTAGAAATATATTTCATAAAGGAGCAACATGAACACTAATTATAAGAAAATTAAATATAACTTTGTTAACATATCCGGTACATATTCCAATAGACAGAGGATTGAAGCTAAATTAGCAAAATATAATTACTTATTATTTAAAACGTCTGTAGAAGGTTGGAAAATTCTGGTAATTAACGATTGACTGTTTTTTTTTATAAGGATAGTCTTCTGCCGCCCCATCGTTCTCCCCCTGGTGTGGTGCATCCAAGGACTTTGTTTTCATTTTAACAATGGACTACTATAGTAGTAACCTATAGGTTAATGTTACTTAAAACCATCAAAGTGGATGCTAGAGTATTCAAAAATAAAAAAAAAAGTATCATGTGCATTAATAGCAATTCCCCTCAAGAATCAGTCACCGAACTAGTGCATACCATCTTCTAACCTCTTCACCACCTAACATAGAGTAGTATCGCAGCGCCGGTTTATCCATTATAAAAAAATATTAAAAGAAATTTCAAACCAAATCATAGGTATAGCAGAACTAAAAGTTCCCAACAAGACATCTTCTATAATATTTTATTTTTATAATAAGAAACGAGAGAATGTTCTAGTATTTTTATTTTTAACGAAAAATAATGTAAGTTACAACAATGGTGTTTATTTTAATTTTCAATAAAAAACGTTGTTGTTTGACTTACCAATTTAAACAATTCAATATTAGAAAAGATATAATTATTATTTCTTAGACTAAATTATTATATCAATAATAATAAAAATATTACGCGGGGTTCGGTACGTTTAGGCTCAAAAGTAACCGCGCTCAAACTTTGCCAAGAACGCTTTCCTACACAATATCAAGATGAACAAAAACTGAATTTATTAAATGTTTCTACGGGAGATTTATATAAAATAATTACTATTTGAAAAGTAAACAAAAAAGTTTATATAATGACGCGTACATTTATATAAATTATTAGAACGACGAGAGTAAGGGACGTAAGTAGGCTCTGGTGGCGACTTTATCTTACAAAAGATTTCAACGCATAGTCTCCTGTCTACAATATCCTCTAAAATTTCTTCATGCTTTTGATCACCTATATAAAATGCAACACTAATAATAAATCTTATGTTTATATACCGTTTCATTGATTTATTCGTCGAATAAAGATAAACATTTAAAAGTAAAAGTTAAATTGTACTGTTATATTTAAATTTTCCTAATATTAAAAGCAGGAATTATTTATTTGTCTAATAACAATGTTGCCGCGCTAAATGCAAAAAACGGTAAAGAGCTTTCAAACTAATTATGTTTTTCAAAGACTAACTGTAGAGGACACTTAACTTATTAACCGAAAACTTTAGTCGAAAACAAATATCGTTGGTGTTTAAAAGTCTGTTAAGAAATTCGGGGAAAAAATTAAACTAAAACGCTTAATAAAAATCTCACCCAGTGCATCGCTCCCCTCTCCTCGTATACTCCCATCTGGGGGTCAATTTTTCCGTTTTCTATTTTCGAACGATTGGGCCTGTGCCCCACTGCACTACCGCACTAACACACGTGGCATCACAGCCGTGCTCACTTCGTCGTCGCCGACGGACTACTGACGGTCGAGCGACGGTCTCGATACTTCGTGGGCAGGAGGCGCCTGGTGACGCCCAATGCTACGCCCCCGGGTCGATGGTGGGTTCTAGCAATTCATAATTTTTTTTAACTTTTTCGTACGCGCCGTAACTGAATTTTTTGAAACTTACGCTCAATTGTTATTCTGTACAACGGATAGATGAATTGTTTTAACTTAACGTCGTTTTAAACTTTTATTATTTCGTAAATAATAAAGACTTATGTAAAATAACCCCATACTGCATTTTCTAGTTCGAAAATTAAAAATATTTAGTAAAACAAATATATCTATACATATGTGTAGATGTCTTCATCACGTTTAACCCAGGCCACACTTGACACCATAGATATAAACAAAAAGTACGAATAAAACCTTTTTTTATAATATGTATTAGTTAAGATGTTTGAATAGCGATTCATTTTATTTTCTTCGTTATTAAATTGTGTAATAAAAATAAATTAATGTATTCGACTTAAAAATGTAATGAATTCGAAATACTGTACCATAATAAAACTCCAAAAATGTACACCTACGTACAACGCACCTCCTAATAATAAGGTCTGCACGCAGACTGCTCCATACATCTATCAACCGTCATATTTGAATTTTACACAATCCATCTAAACTTTCTACCTCTACCTTTGCCATTCACATTCAATCGTAATACTTTCTTACTTACAATTTAATAATAAGTAATATTCTATCTATTAAAAAAGTTACAGTGTGTTAATTTCATTTTAAACTAACAATCAAAACGTAAATTAAATACTCATGCACTAAACTAGGAGTAAATTAACAAAGCCAAAATTAGCAGCAATTTAATTCACATTTGTTGAGTTATTAATAAACTTATGCAGTCGGAAATTCAGTTACAATATTCTCGCAAACCCTTTGTAGTGTTAACACAATTAAACAGTTGTGTCTGTTCCCGTATTAACTAACATTTAGAATTAATTTCTGTCAATTCATAAATAATTAAAACGCAGTTTTGTACTAATCTATATAAAAATATATATAAACAGTGGTATATAATCGTTCTTAATTATTGAATTACATTAATAATCGAATAAAGGTTATAGAAGCAGGTTCACGTTCATATATATCAAAAAATCAGTCTTTTGTAGCCCTCATTGAAACGACTATCGACCTTTTAAAACGCTAATAATCCCTAATAACTGAACATTCGTCCACGCGGTCGAGGGTTCGAATCCCGCCATTCGACTATTCACGAAAGCCATATCACAAACAAAAAGCTTATTTCAAATGGTTACAAAAACAACAATGAATAACCAATATTCTACTATTATTTAAAGAAATGAAACATAATTTTCTTCCTTTCTTTACATAAAACATTAGTACATTTTGTTCATTTACTAATTTTTCCTTTAACCTTTCCAACTAAGCTGTAGGCTCGTGCTAGGATACGGTTTACGACAATAGTCGAATGGCGAGATTCGAACCCTCGACCGCAAGATCGGTAGTCCGTACCCAAAAACATTAGGCTATTGGGCTCATTTTTTACACGAATAGATTAACAAAACATGTTTCTTAAATGATTTTGTTTTTACAGGAGGTACATTCAGGAAGTTTCTTAATGACACTAAAAGCTTTAAACACTTGGGATACTCATATATTTAATCCGAAAACATGTCGCGCTTTTATACGAGATTGACTACTAACAGTAAGGTTTTACGTATGCAAGGCGTGGGTTTTTTCCCATTGGGTCAATAGAATCTATACAACCAATCAACCTAATGGGAAAAAACCCTTTAAGACGATCCATCGGTGGACAGAGCAGCCCAACGAGAAACACCCGACTTCGCAATACAACGTTATAGAGGTTCCTACATAGGCACGCGTCGACGACATATAGAGTGTGCATACCTTTGAGTAAACTCTCGCACAACTGTTTAGTCGCACTTTCACTACCAATGTGTAGGCGCGCACACTACTCGATTTTTTGTTGTGCAACTAAACAGTTGAATGGGCTGCGAAACAACCGACAATTGACAATCGAACAAGTTGGGTTGGTTAACTCTTTTAATCAAAATTGTTCTGGTTCTTTAAAACAACTTTAAATTAAAAAAAAATAATGTTTAGTTGTTTTTCTTCATTTACATTTATTTTAAGCGATTAGAAATCACATATTTATTTGCAATGAATTTTCTATCAGTTGACCATTTGTGAAGAATTTATATAATTAAAATCTACTAAACTAATCTTTTAACCTTTTCAAAATACTTACCAACCGTATAAAATATCCAAGTTAAAAAGAAAATGTCCTTAAACTGCTCTAGTACAGAATAGAGTGAGCGAAGCTGCCGCCAACGAGCTTTTCACGAAGCACTAAAGTTACCGAAGGAGAAAAAATATGAAATGAAACCTTTGAAAGAAGTAATTGAAATAAATTTTACGCGGCGCCGTCGTAAATTTGCAATGAAAATTCCATCCAATATTTTTTCTATTTTTCAATATCGCATGGTAAAAGAATTTATGAAAAAATATAAATAAACCATTTATTGGATCGTAACTTCCTTTTATTTTTGAATTAATGTATTCATCTTTCTTACTTTCCGTTCTTTATTTTCTTTCTTTTCTTTCTAAATACTGAGCGGAGGTCCGATAAGTATGTACTATACGGTATAAAGACTCTTCTATACATCTCCGTCATATACGAGTTCACTTACTTCTTAGGCATATGCCTATACATTATTCGTTGTTCCTCTACAAAGGAACCTGCTATTTTTGTCGAATTTAATTCCTCGACTTGACTGAAAGTCGGTACAATTGTAAGAACAATGTTATTCAATAACATAACTCTATTAATTTTATTATCACATAATAATACACATATCAATGACACTTAACAATTTTTTTAAATGTTTGTTTTATTTAACTTTAATTTCAACGGCGACTGCATATTGATGTACCTGTAAAAAAACATTGTAATAATTATACTAAAATAATTACTACTAGTTGAACCCGACATCATTTGCGATGCCATAAATAACGTTAGAGTGATTAACTAAACATTTAAGATAGTGTTATAGAAAAAATATAATAGACTAGCTATCGCCTGCGACTCCGTCCGCGTGGAAGTAAAGTAAAAACAAAGCGAGTAGCCTATATGTTTCTCTAGACTATCCTCTACATTTATAACAAATTCCTTCAAAATCCGTTCAACCGTTTAGGCTACAAACTTTAACAAACATCCATCCATCTAAACGTTCGCTTTTATAATATTGGTATGAAGTATGGTTTTAGTGTGTTTTATGCAATTTTAAGAATGCCCTAATAAAAATTCTGGGGTACAAATATACCGGCATTAAATTTAAGCAAATCACATTCGATCACAAATCATAGCTGCTAGCGCCATCTATTTAACTTATCAGTAAAAAATAATTGTTAACCTTAGAATATAGATGGAGCGATGTTAAAATCTTAATTACCTAGTTATTTAATCACTTCAAATAAGTTTATCAAAATAAGTAGTGTTAAGTTACGGTAATTGTAAATAATTGTCAATTATTCATAATTTCTAGTTCTTCAACTTAATTTAAAATTATCTAAAGCTAACCTAACATATCCAATTTACTTTTTATTGGTGTTTATTACATTTAAAAGTTACATTTTGAACGAATGTAATGTGATGTATTTCTTACTTTTACCTTTACTTGTACTTCTCTTGGTAATTCTTAATAATTTTTAAATTAATTGGATTTACCGTAACATATCTATATAACTGTACTACTGGTAGGATGCAGCCGCCATTGTATGCAATATGGGAAACATTTTTGAGAGTTACGTCACATTTTAGAAACATTTACCGTCAAACTGTAGAAAGAGAAATAGAACGTCCCCGACCAATACTGAAACTCACTTTCGCATCATTAATTCCTCTTTATAATTCATAAAACTTTGTAACGTGTCAAAATCACTTATCTGTTTACAGAATACTGAATATTTCATACCATCCCAAGGAGCGATACGACTCCTTGTTGTATCATAAGGGTAATAAGCTTGCGTGGTTCCTGATAAGTTCGGTTGATGATTCAATAGCCAGCATTGGCTCCTGCAACAGGATTTGAGCTGAAACTTGGAACAATCCTGATCGGGTAGACGATCTGTTCTATAATGCAGCCAACCATACCAGTCCGGTGTTATCTGTTTCAATGTAATGACATAAATTAAATTAATAATAAAAAATAATTACCCAGATAGTATTGATTGGATTTGATTTTAGTTCTACGCGTTACCTTCGAGATAAAGTTCAATTCCTAATTTTATTTTCGTGTTCTTTCTACTCCCACACAACGCTAGTTTCCATCCTTTCTTATAGTACCACACGTTCGAACAAAATAATTAGGATTAATGGTCTTTCACTAAACTATCTCTTAATATGTATCGACCACGTCTCCAGTTAACATTAGATGCACTTGTGGTCAGGCGCAAATTAATTCGTTATGAAAATATTATATCAATTTACATTGCATCTTACCTGAGTTGCATCATATTCAAGTTTAACGCTCTTGTTGTATTCGACCCAACGACTGCGGCCGATGAAATAATAATTGTTTTCGAAATATTGATTGCCGAAAGCATCGCAACCTACGTTACGACCATCCTATAGTTATTACAAAACTATGATTACAAGATATATCCTAGCTCCTATTCCCTTAATAGGGTTGGCACAAGTCTGATAGGACGAAGCGATTATAATGCATAAATATCCTGTGCCGCTTTACTTCTTAATGAGAGATCTTTCGCATTTAAATAAAATAAAAGATGCGTATCAATTGACAAACAATATTTAAATAAGACTTATACTTCACCTTTAAAGTATCAAAACGGCCCAATTTCCAAAGAGACTTCCACAATCCACCGTTCCTATAAATAATTGTAAAGAAGTAACGTATTTTTCCTAATGAACTCATTGTTGTTTCTATAAAAGTCAACTTCAACTTTGATAATTTTTATGTAAGAATTGACATTTATTTTTTTTTAATTAAGATTTTTTATTTTTAATGGCCGACAACTCGGAAACGTTTTTACGTTTTTGCAATTATCTGGCTTAAACTCATCTTGTTATTCTGTAAAAAATCCGTATGGTTTTCCAATGGTTAGAGAGAAAATAATCCGAAAGGAGAGTGAAGTAATAGAAAAGTTGATTTACTCCCTTAAAAAACCTAATAAGCTTAGATTTCTAATAACATTTTTTATTATTTTTATACTTCCAGTTTAACTCTCTGGCTTCATTAAATTATTGCAATTTAAAAAAAAAGGAATTAAACTGATGATGGTGAAATAAAAAACATTTTATACGAAAGCAACAAAATGTAATAATAACAATATTTTGTTTTTCGCTCAGATTTCTTCACAGCCTAAACGGAAACGGTCTTACCACAAAAAACTTAGTTAGTGTTTAGATTCCGTTTGACCGCAGAACTTCAATGCTGTTACACTAAAATATAATTTGTGGTTTCAGTTTAGCCTCACTACACGTGCAATCCAAAAGTTTAAACTCTTATACCGGTGTCTAATTTTTTGTGGTAACACAGGATTCTATGTGGTTGTTCATTGGATGCTGATACGGAAAAAAACTATAAACTAAAGAAAATTGTTGCGTTTCACAATTGATTGTGTGCATATTAAATTGTGTTTTTTCGGACAATAGTCATGATTAATGTTCGATTATGATGATCATTTGATTTTGATAGTTAAACTTACAATTGACAAAAAGTTACGACAAATGATGCGTTTACAAATATAGCCTAAGGGTCTATTGCGAATATTTTCGTGACAGTCGCGAGAACGTAATCGTAACGTCATCGACAAAATTTGTATGAGATTTATTGATGTACGTTACGCTCGGGCGCTGTTTAATTCTAATATAAATTAGTCGATCATGTTACGAAAACTTTCTCGTAAATTTTCACGGTTGACCCTCCGATCTACTGTTATCACTAAAATAGAGAGATATAAATATAAAAAGCTATTAATAATACACAAAAAAGTCCTAATTCTATAAGATACAGAATATACAACATTTATGGATATATTCTACGTGATTAATAAAATCCACACGACGATGTTTAAATCAATATCGTCATAGTAAAATAAGATATGGCAACATTCAATAAAAGTGTAAATTAATGGAATACATTATAGATTATTTATAAAAAATAAAATAATTTATCTATTGGAAGAAAAAATTAGCGTTGGCACAGAATAATGTACTTATTTAGTACAACCTATTAACTGCAAAATACATGATTATATATGAACTTATTTAGCTCGGCACATGAAGTTTCATATTTATATATAATGTACTGTAGAATCCGTTTAATGACCAATAGCTTATTACGAAGCAACAAGACGGTTTTCATATTAATTCCCCTCTTGTGACCTATTCTTAATAAATTGTAACCGGTTATATATTCCTAGCTTCTTCGACTGTGTTCGGCTAACAGAGACGAGGCATTAAGTCTGCAGTATTGTTAGAAGAGAATTTATAATATTTTTGCAATTTATTTTATTTATCTAAATTGTTCGTCTCTAATAAAATAACAAAAAGAGGAGATATTTTCAGCTAAATGATTCGTATGTATTGAATCGAAGGAAAATCATCATAATAAACGGATTCCACTGTAATTGTTTATAAATTACACTCTTATTTAAATAACGGAAATTTGGGGCAAATTACATAATAAAAATATCATACCAAGTTGCATTTATCACAAGCATAAATGTAAATACAAATATTCTTCAATGGATTTTTTTTAATATGGTATTCGCAACCAAGTAACAAAATTATGATAGATTTAAAATAAATTGACATTTTGTAAAAATAAAAAGAAACACAACCCAAATACAACTGTTATTAAGTCGGTGAGATTTATAACTATATTATTTCATAATTATTTAGTAAATATTATATTTAATAAGATATAGTTTCTACAAAATACAAATAGAATCACTTCATTGCTATTTCTAGTAAATATATTGATTACATAAATCGGTTACAAAGTGGCTAATTACTATTTCCATTTATAGATTTCAAAAACAGATAATGTACAGGCAATTGAAAGTTTTCACTTTATTGCAGTGGCAGCTCTACATAGTCCGCTCGAGCAATAAAATGTGTAAATCATATTCATTAAAATTTGTATGAAATTAAGCTCTAAAATAAAATAATAAGGCTTATTTTCAGCTTTAAAAATTAATATATGCGAATGGAATTGCGCACGCCATCTGTGGGTCTTTTGAGGAAATGACTGGCGCTTTAAATACATGTCTAGGATAAAATGTATGGCGAAGAATTAACTCCTGTGCGGCGCTCAAGCATTCCAAACTCTCTCCAACAGATGGCGCTGTGACGATTTCTTATTTTATTAAATAAAAATTACCGTTTGAGATGTTTTAAGATTATTGTTTACAATTCGTTATTAACTTACTAGATTTTTAAACATCAAATGTGAAAAACAAATTACCAAAAACAACACTAAAAACATTACAAAGTACGAATTCATTAATTAATATTATTTAAATTTGGCTAAAACTGAATTTTGAACATCATTCAGCCAACGCATAAGTAGTGCACTACCGGTTGGGACCCACGAGCCGCCACTTTTTTTTTCGAAATAAAAATCTAAATATTAAGACTTTGCATTCATGTGAAAAGACTAAATATTTAAATTGATGAACGCTGAATATTACCATGATCGCAATATAGCATAGCAGTACTCGAAATATCACCAACCGGATTTAAACGTTAAAGTTATCTGACCCGATAAGCAAAATTCACATTAAGTTAGCTCACTAGCGCCACTATGTCCAAAAATGCGACCTCCTCGTCTTACTGTAGCTGTCTTATCATATTTTTCTTTTGTCATTTTCCATGCCTCAGCAGGTTTTATATATTTTCTGACAGAACTATAACCCTCTATTCACTTCTAACAGAAATATTAATCTGTTTAACTTTTTAACTTTTTCTTATGAGACATTATTATACGGATAACACTAACGTTACATTCCGGTGGCGGCACTGACTAGTTTCCGACCCGTCGGGGGTCCATCATCGGGTCGTATTACTATGCAATTTAAGTATGGTCAAATAAGGATGTCTAGGCCGATGAGACCGACCATCGTCACATTCTGTCAGAAAATATGTAAAACATACAAACATGAGTAAAAGGAGGGCGTTAGTGAATTATCATAATTATTTTTCACTTCCAAAAAAAATTATAACTAAAGTATATGACAAGTTTGAATAACATTAAAAATTTCTCAACCGGATCATAGACGTACATATTTAGTATAAAAACATGTATAATTGTATTTTAAAAATATTCTTCGCATCGCTACGATACACGTCAACAGTCAAGACATTCTTAAAACTAAACGCTACGGGAAGATTAACATTCTGTTCCACTACAAGTTTTATCTAACACCAATATCTAATCTATCACAAAATAGTTATATACAAATATCTTAGTGGAGTCTAAAAATTGTGTTCTGCGCACAAAGTTTACAAATGTATGGAAGAGACATACTGTGACGACCCTCCTTAGGGATAAGAGCGAGTTGATGCACAAAGTTAAGATCCGCCAAGATATCTGAATACTACTAGAACATACTTAAACTTAAGTAAAGCGCCGTGCGCGATACAAGATAACATAAAAACCCTTCAAATACTAAATACCTTTTCCATTTTTATCAATAACTAATGATACTTTAAAAAACTGCCTTAACAACTCTGTGGCCAAAGATCAGATCGCGATAAGTACATATTTCCTCAGTATCGTCATCACCATCTTACTACAAGTCCCCACCGAGGGGTCCGAGCCTATCCTAAGTAAGGGGTGAGTAGGGCATAGTCAACTAAGCTGGCCCACTGCGGGTTGGTTAACTTCACACATATCTTTGAATTTCTTCGCCGATTTGTGCAGGTTGCATCACGATGTTTGCCTTCACCGTAAGAACGTCGGGAACGTTGGGTTTTTTTTGTTCAGTATGACTTATTAATATAGGTATAATCGCTAAAAATGCTTATTACATGTATATAAATACATGCAAATTATTACATATATATGTTGCAATCAGAAGAAGAAATCAATTTGAATTTAAGTCATAATTAGAACACGAGCGCCGCCGAACGACTTTCGTGAGAACTTAGATGATTCTGAAAATAGGGATCGTTGCGAGAACATTGTTTGAAGGATATGAGGTTGGTAGATCGATGATATCCTGACTGAGGAGCATTGTGAATGTGTCCCTGGAACCCGACTTTCCCATGGCCGCCCACATGTCATCTCGACTAGTAGCCATTCTGATATCGTGCTAGCTCAAGACGACATATATATCAAATATTTTAATAGTGCCGTCAAGATTACTTGATACTTTAGTTCCTTGTCTTGTAAAGTAATGAAATTACATTTATCATATACTAACCTATGGCCACAGAATTGTATCAACACATATCGTTGTCTCTATTTTTTGCATAGCGAAAGAGAAGGAGGACATGTTATCATTCAAATGTTCATTGGAAACACACTGCCGTTCGAAAACGCTTGGTTTACTTACATACATGGGTTCCAATATGTAAAACAATCATTTTAAAATACGTGTTTTAAGATGTTGTTTTTTAATAATAAAAACACTCGCAATTATATGCAACTTGCACAATCTAAAAACCTTATGTAGTACAATTAAAAATACATTGGAAAAAAGTTTCATATAATAAATGGATTTAACATTTAATTTAAGAATAAAATATTTCATTGCATTAATTTTTCAATAAAAAAAAACACAAAACGATAATAAAAACAATCTTAACAATAAATTAATATACGATCGTTGCAAGAGTCCAAATAATTATTGCAGACTAGATAACTAAACTTTAAGTACCTATAAGTAAATAACATAATAAATATCAAAAAGATCTTGTTTATTTATAAATAACTTTGCGTTACTATCATAACACCTATACAAGAAAACACGATTATCTCTGTTTTTTTAACACAAGAGGGATCACATTATTATACAGGTGCTATGAAAGTACACTCTCCAATACAATGTTTCGTAACACAAGTTTATTACTTAGGCTCCCTATAAAAATAGGTGGAATCAATCTTTTTTGGCACTATTTAACTGGAAGAATTCTGTATAACCGTATGTAACAATAAAAACTATAATTTAAATTAAGTTTACACTGCCAAAACACTTGTTTTTACAGAAATATAAAATCGCCGGCCATATTGCGGGAAAATGTGGAACTAATTCTTTTACACAGATGCTATACGATTGAAGCGCCCCCATTAGAGCATTTTTATTTTTTCGGGAAGAATACGAAATATATTATTTTAAAAATTGGATGCAATATGTTTTTGTTCAGATGTTGAGACGTTAAAAAATAATTTAGTAACATTTAAAAGAGTAATTCAATGAACCTCAAGCATTAGAAAATACATTTAATTTTATTGCGTTTATTTTAGGCGACAATAAGATACCGTTTAATGTTTACGTTTAATTTTATTGCGGGAAAATGTGGAACTAATTCTTTTACACAGATGCTATACGATTGAAGCGCCCCCATTAGAGCATTTTTATTTTTTCGGGAAGAATACGAAATATATTATTTTAAAAATTGGATGCAATATGTTTTTGTTCAGATGTTGAGACGTTAAAAAATAATTTAGTAACATTTAAAAGAGTAATTCAATGAACCTCAAGCATTAGAAAATACATTTTATGTAATTAAAATTAAGATATTAGAAAATTAATAATATTAAGAAGTATAATGCATTTTACTTAAACAATAATAAGGGAAATATATTAAGTAGTAAAGTACGTTTTTACCCAATAAATATATTAAGTACTACGTAGCAACTTTGACGAAACATTTGATGTTGAATACCAAAAAAAGAAAAGAGTAAAAGAAAATTTGTTTATGGTAAGTAGTTAGTATTATATTGAAAGTAAAAATTAGGTCCTTTTCATTGGATTCCTGTATAAGACATACGTTTCCATGACAACCACATCTCTGACGTCATACCAGTGAACGTACGAGATTAAATATTATTTGTTGCAAAAATAATATCGAGATACAAACTAAATTGCTGTAACAATGAGTTACGACATTAATTGAGGTTATTTAAAAAAACTAAACAAAAAAAGACGTCATAGTTAAGGACCTAATATAAATGTTATAATAAAATGCCAATTGGTCCGATTCGATCAGCCTCATTCTCCTTTATTTAAATAATATCACCATCCTTAATATTTCATTTTTTTAATTTTAACATAATACTGATTCTGTTATATGTGTCAAGGGTTTAAGATCTTTGTTGTGACAATTTTCGTCACTATTTACACATTAACGTGAGTTTAATCTACCAAAGCATTCGTATGTTATTTTTTATAGATAAGACAATGCTTAGTCAACAGTGCAAATTCAATCATATTTAAAGCTAAAAAAATATCTAACGCTAAATAAGAAATGTACACAACGGCGTGACCGAATTAAAACCGAAATTAAACCATTATTACTGGAGAATTGTTGTCTATTTTTGTGCTTAATTTCTTTTCGCCATTTTAGCACTTGTTTGCGGTAGTGAGAATTCGAACTATTTAAATAAAATTGTCAGTAACAATAGGCACTATTTAATCTAAATATTATAATAATATTTAAATCAAATAGTAACAATATTAAAATCGAAACTATTTGCCAAGCAAATTTGTACGGATCGGTGCTAACATCAAGCGGAAAGAACGAGAAATGAAAGTGGAATATTTTCTACAAATGTGATAGGTTTTTAACGTTTTTGTTTTTAACAATTGACGCACTAATTAACGACATATTGTTTCGTTTAGCTAAACCCTTTACGCAGATTACGCGATCGCTAAGTGTAATTGTTGTTTCGGTTCCGCTCCGCTTTCGTATGTCAAATAGTAAAAATTAAGAAAATATAAATAAAGTATATATTATGTATTATGTATGTAAATTATGTGCTTCGTATTCCATACAATAATTAGTGATTATCCATTATAATTATGGAAAGAAATTAATTTAACAGATTTTGTCTACTAAGTCTATTGTCTAGTGGATTCTACCTAAAGTCCAATTCACATATCATGAGAGTTATTATAAAGTTTCAGACTCTTAAAGGAAAATTATTAAAGTAAATATTAATACGAACTAGTATTATAAAATCTATGTCTGGGTAGATCCATATGTACCGGGAGGTGGTCGATATTCTTCAGGTAAGGCCATCATTTGCTTTTTCGTGAACGCGTATTTTCTTACTCCGATATTCTTAAACGTATTCTCTCTGCGACAACCCTCACTGGAATTAAAAGTAAATAATATGTTAATAAGCTTTTTTTATAAACCACTGGAATTTGCCAAAATAATGACACCTTCTCGTTTGTAAATGTATTGTCAAATTTTAACACAAATATGGGATATTTCCCTTCCTTACAAGTCCCCTCTTCTACTTTTCATTGGTCGCAAAAGTGGAAAGGAAAAAACGACTAAAACTAGGCCACAGATATGTAATTTCCGGTAATATTAAAAATCTATGTTATCAGGGAGTAACATAGGCGGCTTTTTACAATTTAACACCGACGAAGTCGCGAGCAACAGCTAGTCGATTAAAAATTCTCACCTTCTCATGATATTTAATGCTTTTTTCATTTCATGTTCCGCCAAATGATATTCGGAAGCTAAAATAGAGCATTGTTCCAACGTCACTGACATCCCGGTTCTGTCTTTGGCACTTTTACACGAAGTGAATCTAACACCTGAAGAAAAAAAATAAATTATTTTAATACCATAATACTGCAACGGACGGAGAGAAGTCTTATCTATACATAAATAATAAAATTAGAGTGTTTGTAATATCTAAGGAAAAAATTCTAGATTTCGGGATGATGAATACATAAGATTTTCATTATTAGCAACGCAAATATGCGTTGCTAATAATGAAAATCGCGTTTCAAAAATGTTTGTCTGTCTGTCTGTCCGCAAGCTGCGTTTGTTCCGGGCAATCTCCGAAACGGCTGGGCCGATTTTGACTGGACTTTCACTGGAGGGTAGCTGACATAGACCCGTATATTATAGCCTACTTTTTTTTAACCGACGACGACGTGAACCGATTTGGACGATATTTTGGAAGGTATCTCGTAAAAGTATATGCACGCGGGAATGTTATAGACGACAATTTTTTTTTAAATTCCATGCTATGGAAGTTTGCGGGTGACAGTTCGTAACGAATTATCTTACTACGTTAGTATTACACCTTATAAAAAAAAATTACGTAATAAAACCGCAAACATTCGTAATAGACCCTCTGATTACATTGGAACTAGTTAGTACTTTTTAATTCTTTTTAACAATCTAGTAGTAGCTTATTTATTGAAATTCGACTATGTTATTTATATTATTAATACGAAAATTTGAATGGATGGAAGTTTGTAAAGGGCTGCACGGATCTCCATGAATAATTGCATAATTCTATGCCTATGGTCTGGATGAATACATAAGCTTGTTTTTTATATCTAGTAAATCATTTTTTAATTCCCTTTGCACTCCATATCAAAGTGACACATATTAAGTATATTTTTTTCTAACAAAATGAGTTTTATTACCATTCATAAGTCTTGTTGCTAACGAAGATAAATGTAACACTTCGATATTCTTCGGTATTTTCTTATGTACAGATATTTTCAGGTTCTCCATAACCTCCTCTAATGGTTTCGTTCTTGATGATGCTGTAAAAACAATACAAACAACTTATTTAACTACACACTTAAATCTACAAAAAGTATTCAAGTTTATATTTTGATAATACTTGTCTAATACGAAATTTCATAAATATCTGACATAAATTGCATACAAGAATAAGTTAAATAAGTGGGCCGATTTTGATGATTCTTTACACGTTAGATAACTTAATTACTAAGATTTCAAACTGAAACATAACACACCATTTTTAATCATACTTCATACTCTGCATTTATCTATACTTCTATACTTTTATACTATACTCACTTCATGCTTTAGGCTACATATTTTCACGCCATTAAACATAGGGGGTAAATATTTTGAAATGTGAGAAAGAGACCATAAGTTCCTGCCAACATCAAGGAAGCAAGATTGCCAAGGTTTGTAATGTCATGTCATTTTGACATTTGCTATTGATAATTTGACTAATGTAAACAATAAAATAACATTTTCATAAGTTTATGCGGATGAAGTCGCAGTGGAACAGCTAGTATTAATATAAAAGCCGATATTTGGACGGATTTTTGCTACAAATATCCAAAACCTATTTATGGATTTACAGGCACAGATGTAGAACATGAAGTAGAACTCATAGGCTACTTACTAAGTTTTTTTTTTAAATTGCTCGCACTGGCAAAAGATAGAAAATATAAGAAAAATTCACCTCTGCTTGCTGCTAAAACATCTGCGGGGAATACTTTGTTATATTTATGATAGTACTTGTTTAATCTTTCCAGATTATCACAGTTAGATTGATATTGAGGTGTAGTTTCACCCAAAGCTTCAGCTAAAGTAGCTTTCTCGTTCACACCAATGTTGAAGAACACTGCGGTTATTGTAAAGTTTAGATGCTGAAAATAAAAACATTATTAAAATTAGCTTTTGTAAAAAAGAAAAATGTAGAACTTCATCGCTTAGTTGTTGCTCCAAAACTTTAGGATGTGTTAAAATGTATGAATAATGGAAATATGTAAAATAGTTTACCTGTTTACATGTAAATTTTGAATAGAGTGAATCCGAAATAGGAATGGAGACAGAGAGCGCACTTCTTGACCCACTGACTTGAGGAATGGCAGTAGCACTGAAAAAAACATATTAAACTATATAAATTTACATAAAAAATTTAAGTTGCTCCTATTTGAATACAAAAAGGATAAAATTACAATTTACTAAGTTTTTTGTATTTTTATTAAACAGTGACATCTGTGGCATTTTCAGAAAACTACACAGCAGGACTCAATAACACAACTGTTACTAGATGACATCAGTTGACAATAGATGGCGCATATTTGTATTATTTCCGATAATAAATAGTGACATCTATGAAATGTCTTTGAAAACTAAACAGTTGCAATGAACGATGTAGTTACCTAAGATTGCGTCAACTGACAATAGATGGCGCTAATTTGATGAATAATGACACCTATGAAATATCTTTGACAACTAAATGGCTGCATTAATCGGCGCGGTGTTCGAGATGATGCTAAGTAATAATAGATGGCGCTGATATTGATTAGCATTGAATGTTCGATCGGATTTTTAACTTTAATCTAAAATAGATAACTATAGAAAAAAAGATTCGAGGGGACGATTAGATTTTTTTAACTAACGATTGAACACTTGAACTAGATTTAATAGCGGGATAGAATAGCTTTCGCCCACGGGAACGCACGCATGTTTTACGCATTATATTAAGAAATCTTACCTGTGTCCTACTTTAGTAAGTGTAAAAAGCACAGTTTGTAGATCCTCAACAGCAACAACCATGTCACCCCACATCGCCTTCTCTGTAGAATAAAGGCTGAGCAAAGCCTCGAAGCCACACAAAGGGCCAAGATCTGAACTCAATAGCTTCACTATTACTTCTGCAGGCATAGAGTTGAACCAACATAGAAGACCCGCAGTTACTGTGGCCAGCTGTGAATACAATAATCTTTTAGTAAAGTACAAATTCATAGGTTGTCGTTAAAGTCGGTTCTACGATCGTGCCTCTCTATCGCCAGTTCCACGCTCTCGCTCATATCAAGCGGGTTTATGTGCTGTTTTATATTGAAAAAACCTTAATTTTATTGTTTCTTTGCAAACATCGGCAATCACATGCTCCAATCACAACGAAGGCCATAGAGAATTAAGTTACAATAAAAACATTGACTCTTTGCTATTGGCTTGTAATTTTTGCCCAATAACGACATAGGGATGCTTTTATGAGAAAATTAACTTACAGCTTGTGAGAAGCATGTATCACGTCGTGTTTGTAATGCTGCATGCTCCTTCGTCCACGTCGGAGATTCGCATCGTATCCTCATAGCGGCGTGTGACACACGAGACCAGCGCAACAATATATCCAATTGCCCTTTCATCCGCTCAACCAACGAACGTAAACCATCCAACTGATCTTCAGATACACCTAAAACATTTGAATATTATATTTGATGAGCCATAATAAACAAAAACATTTCTCTTATCTGCATTTGCTTTAGTAATTAAAGGTTTTTATTCAAACACAATAAACATACCTGTGCTAGTATCCAAATTCTTCAATGTAGAATCGGTAAATTCAGCAAACAATGTTTGTATATTAGTTCCGAAACTTTTCAGGGACAATAAATTGCTTTCTCTTGCACTTGAATCTATCAGGCCTACAGTTGGCAATGTAACACTTTTAGTTTTTATCTCGGTATTCTGTAAAATCATATTTAAAAAAATCACAACCACAAAAAATATTATCAAATGTCCAAACTTAACTTTCAATTATTCTAGTAAATTATTAAAACAAAAATATAATCACCAGCAACATATAAACAGCACATTCATATGTCAAAATTCAATTATGAAGTAAAAATAACATCATATGCATTGCATAGAATAAAAAAAAAATCGCAAAAACAAAAATAACTTCGCATATGCAAAACAAAACGCTTTAAAGTAACAGGATAATTAAAAACTTTACCTTATTGCTTAAGCTATCCACTACACTTCTATAAGAGACTTGTTCAAACGAGGCCGAGGAAGTTTGGGTTTCTATTGAATTTGTCTTACTCGGTGTAGCAATTGATTTTAAATTTGCACATCCTTCACTGTCGAAGTAATCATTGTGGAAATTCAATTCAGTACCCTCTATTATATCTCTGATAGAATCCTTGCTAAATTTCGAAGGTCCAGGATAAACATTCTTAGTGGTTGATAGAGACGGTGCATCTCCAGTCGGTGAAGTATCTTTGGAACTCGAACTTGAAGATGCATCATATGCATCATTATCAGAACCTGCATCGAATATACTCAGTTGTTCTGTGAGACGTAGAATTGTTGATATCGTCTAAAAATAATCTTAGTTATATATTGTACGTTCTAGAAAGACATTGGAAACTTAAACACAGGTTATATTAGGGTGACGATGTTATTTTGTTGATATTAACAGATATTAATGTTGCAATAATTTAGTTTGCAATAAATATTTTTTTTACTATTATTATAAATCATCTTTTCTCCTATTAATAGTTAGCTATGTGCCACAACTAATTTAAATGTTATATTTTGCAGTAATCCAATATGCATACTAAAATATATGAATTGACAAGTATCAGAAATTCTTAATAATTAAATATTCACTAAGGGAGATCCTCAGTGCAGATTAAGCATTAGAAATATACTCTAAATAGCTAATTAAACTACAATGCAAGAACATTAATTATGGCAGAAATTCTTAGCTTAACATATTTATAATCTCACCTGGTCTTCGGAATCATCAGTACAAGTATTCTTTGGCCATCCAATACTGGCTAACATCTCCTCAACTATGCAGGGTTCCCATAGAGCAAGAATACTTTTTATCTTACTTTTTATAACTAAAAAAATAAACAGCAAACACATAATTAATACAAAAAAAACTACAAAAAGCATTAACTTTACAATATGTGAATAGTCCCTTGTACTGTGTAATATTAATGTATTCTAATAAACAATCATCAGATTAACTGATAGGCTTGAGACTACCCTAAATTGATGGTATGCCCTTAATCACAATGACCCAGTGCGTGTTTATATATATCCCAGTAATAAGTAACATTGCAAGCTGTATATCAGATAATTTGAATACTATAAGCTGAACATTTCGGCTGTACTACAGCCGTAAAAGCGCTTATACAGCCCTTATAAGTTAAAAGAGGACCCCAATTATATTGCTTGAACTTAAGTTAGTTTTCGTGGATACAAAAAGTCCCTTAAAACATTTTAAGTTCTAAATTGGCCGGTATATTAACTTTAACGACACTTGCGTCACACACACGAGCGTGAGGGATAGAGTTAAAATGCCTCGATAATTTCAGAGTTAATTTATTCAACAGAGTCAACTATTCACAACACTCACGCAATTGTTTCTTAACACTTCACGACACACAAAGCACTTTAAAGAACACCACTGGCACTGTAACACTTGTATTTTCACTCCGCAGTCACTTAATCTTCTTTGCAATTCACTTAGGACTTCTTCTTCACAGTTCACTTTCCACCATATGACTGTCACAATTGACTCCCCTTATATACCCTCCTTATTTATCATTTTATTCCAGATCTTTCTCGATAGTCCGAATCACAAAAAATTCTTAATGGAACATTCTCGAAGCCGTTTAGAATTTTCGAGACATCTTTTCGCGAACGTCATTTTCTTTACTCGCGGCAATCGAACATTCTGGAAACAGCTCGATTATTCTTCAAATATGTTTTTTGCTACTCATCAATAGATGACGTCACGACAATATAATTTATTTTACAACATATTTATTTACCTTCAATAACTGTTACTATTTCTTCCTTCTGCATCGCTTGCAGAAGAACTAATACCCTGTCCATATCATTGCCTGCTTCTTCACAGAGACGTCTTAGTGCGACAACATTGTCATATTCCACTTGTATTTTATTAGCAGTTGCCAAATTTAACGCTGCTTTTGAACTGTTTATGTCTTTCACCTGCTGTACTAATCTGCAATATTGTAAATGCCTACTTAACACATTCTATACCACAAATAGTATTAAAGTGAAAACAATATACAAATATACATTAAAAAAACTTGTTAGCTAGCTATGTGTTCTTGATCTTCCTGACTATATTTGACATCTATGCCAAATTATATAGAGATCCATTTAGCTGTTTTGGAGATACCTTCTAACAAAATCTATATAAACTTTCACTTATAATGTGATGTGCATGGATGGATAAGGGATGGATAGATATTATAAAATGTTAGTAAGGTGTATGATTGTATTTTTACTTTTGAGTTTCAAATATATGGTATTTAAGTTTATCTAATGTAAAATTTATTACCCTGAAGATTGTTATAGTAAACATATATTCTAAACACTTACCGAATCAGACCTCCGGTTCTTTCAGCCTTGTGTGTATGAGCGGCGAATGCTCCAGCGGTTATCACGTCATGAAAACCGGTCCTGTTTAATGTATCATTGTGTACCCACATTCGTTGCAAATGTAGGTTAACGGGTGCAAATTCTAAGCTTGATTCATCTGAAAATTATTAGAAATTAACATATAAATACATATACAGAATTATTTTTTTTTTATATAAAAAAATGTTTTTGTTAGGTTAGCAAACATTTTTAAAAACTAGCAACATATATTTATGTGTATACAACATATGTGTATACGGTAAGGGTCTTCATTTACTATTCAAATAACTACATTTTATTCATAGATACATTTTAACTTTAAGTACATTATTGTTTATGTACTATCTTTATGATTTACTGTATAACCAATGACAGTTATTACTATATATCATATATAAAAAAAACACAATATCTCATTACTTTAAGGGCCTGTCCCACCAAATTGTAAATTGTCCGATAACAATCGAACATGTAAAATATGTGATGGAAGTATCTAATTTTATTCCCCTACCTGACAGTGACATCAATTAAGCTATCTGAGCCTCTATCAGCCAGTGGTGGGACAGGCCCTAAATATATCTTATATTTCAAATAGAATCCAAAATATCAATAAAAATCATCTACCTTTTTTAGAACTTCGCTTAAAATATGGATTTTCCGCAATTTGAAGACATCGTTTAGAATGACAATAATGTTTTAACAACAACACATGTGTGCTAGCCAAATCCAACTGGCGAGCCTCCCACTGTCCGCTTACAGATCCTACAGACAATATCTCTTCTAAAAGCTCCTTTTCCCTTTGTACGTAAATATCTCTGAAACAATACAAATAACACTATTAAATCCTTCCTCATTAACTTGTGTGATAACTAATATATATGTACTCACAACAACTGTACAGGAACTTGATAACAAAGTTTTGGTTCCGCCATAATTTCATGTACAGTAATATCACCACCGAGACCTGAATGAAATCTATATGTAACTTGATGGCTATTCACAAAGTTCTGCTTCAACAAATTACTGTACGAAGGAAACTTGAGCTTCAAACCCAATCTTGGTGGTAAAGATTGGGAACGGCGATGGCACATCACTTTCTGTGGTATATCTAGACAATTCTTATCATTACAATGACTGGGGCTTGTACCAATATAAGACGGTTCTAGACTCCAACCATGAATGGTCACAAAACCTACTGTTTTATTTTCACGAGTCATTAAAGCTACTCTGAGTCTTTGGGCTTCCTGCAAAAATAGAAAATCATTTACTCCTTACAAAGTTATAATATAATTATCATACTAATATTAAAAATGCGAAAGTTAAGATGGATGGATAGATGTTTGTGAGAGTTTGTTGCCTAAACTATTGACAGGATTTAGATGAAATTTGCTATATATGTAGAGATAGGCACTTTTGTTTCTTTTTATTCCACGCGGACGGAGTCGCGGGCGAAAGCTAGTACCTATATAAAAAGATAAAAAAAAACTCACCTGTATAGTACTCAGCTGCAGTGAGGTGAAACCCATAGGAACAGCTGTTTCAGTAACTCGCTCCTTAACATTGTATGCAACAATCCTGATCATTACATCACCTGTCAAACCATCGCTTGCACGAAAAAGTATTGTCTTTGAAAAGAAGGGATTACTGCAACTCTAAAAAAAAATAAAGACAAATTATTTATTAATTAAATTCAGATAAAGAAACTAGCAGTCACCAGCAATTTAATCTGTCATAGAGAACTTTTATCTCATATAAAAATCTTGAGTGATCCCCACTGGGGGGATTGGCCAAATAGAAAAAACATTCCCATTGTGTTAATTGATTAGCAGGCCAATCTGTCTAAAGGGGAATACCCCAAATCCCGGTTCAAAGTTCTCTAGGTCAAGTAGCTATATTGTGTTGATATATTAGTCAATTCCTTCTTTGTGGAATACATAAAAGTGTTCTAGTTACTAATTCATATTACTAAAGCAAAACATAATTATTACAAACCTCGACAACTTCGGTTGTACCATACTTGATGCAAACCTCTTTAGAATATCTGACATAAACAACAATCAGTGGTGAAGGTGGCTTCCCATATGCATCACATAAAAGATTGTCACATGACAATGCAAGTTCACATAGTGGGATTTCAGTCATATCTAAAAAAACAATTGTAAATTATATAATTGAAATAAGGTAATTAAGGAATAATTAAAAGACAAATTGACTTTATTTTGTATTTTGTGAAGTGTACAGTTTTAACTGGGTATGAATGATATGCAAGTTTATATAACTAGGTTTGGACTGTGACTCCGTTCATGTAGAATTAAAAAACAACAAGGGTAACTAGCCTTCCCATAATTCTGATCTGTTCCAATTAGGTTTATTTGTATTTTTATTAGACAATAAAAAGTTGCACAAAATAAAAAAAACTTACCAGCAATGATTCCCTTCTGGATTCTGTGGGTTGTGATATCCACAATGGGTCTGATTTTATTTAGTCTTTCTTTCAATGCAATAAATTGTGAATGTATAACATTGTACGGTGCATTTTGTATAGCTTTTATCCAGTGCGATCTTTCTGCTTCATTAAGGGCAGCTATTCTATACCATAAGCCATTGTCCCAAACTGAGAATAAAATAAAGAAATTACCTAAGCATAAGAAAGAACTTAAATTTTATTTTAAGTAAAATCATTTAGTTCCGATTCAATAAATACAAAATTTTCAATGGAAAAATATATTCTATAACGGCAATAAAATTATTATAAAAGATCTCTATTACCATTTTCTTGATGACTTTTTTGACATTGTTTTACAAATCTCATCAACATCAAAACTATGATATATCAAGTAAGATTGTTAGAAAATCGACAAAAATGTAATGATTTATTTACCAATTTGAAATGGCCAATGCCCATTATCATCTTGATTTTGTTCCTTGATTTTATGGTTTCCCAGCACTATAACTCCCATGGGTTCATACCAGGGCTCAGGACCCTTCAAATAAAACAGTAGATTACCTCTAAGACGAAACCATCGAGCCGAGGAACCTGTAATCATGTATAAATTTAAATATGTCTTTATGTTATATTTATATTTAAGTTTCTATCGAAAATCAAACGCAATTTGTATTGAATACGGTTTATAAACACAACAATCTTGATACATACCATCAGATCTTCGAAAAAACCCATCCTGTTTTTCCTTCAAAACTAGTACTCCTTCACGTTCAAAATTTTGAGTAGTTTGAGACGCCAAAGCAGCTAATTCATGCTTATTATATCTCATATTTATACACTTGCATTATTTTACTATGTTTGTCGCATATAACACACCCAAAAACTAGGTTATTTGGGACCGCCCTATGCCTTGGGGTATAAAAATATGCTTAAAATCCTTTTTTCAAAGCAAACTTTGACAAAAAGGCCAAAACTTTGTGTTTATTTACATTTTAATAAAAAAAAAAGTAATTCCAGATCCCTTTACTACTATACGCATTATCATAATTTTTAGATGATTATTAAATTAATTTTCGTAGCATTTATCAATCATTTATAAACTGCAATCTGGAATCAACAAACCTTAGAGCCATTCCATTTGACATTTACCAAAGAGATAGAGGAGAAGTAGAGTACTGTTAGAGGTGGGCGATACAAATTGTATATGGGAACAAAAACTATATATCGGAACAAAATCAAAAATTCGCTTAATAGCTCATACGGCGAAATCTATATATTACAATATCGAGATATTTACGATTTACCGAACACTCGTTAACCTACGACAAATTGCCTGAGACAGACACTGATATTGCATTAGAACAACACATCAATATCCATCGTATTAAAAAAAATGATATTTTAGTAACAGATTTTTGTATTTTTATATTATCACTGTCTTGTATTAATTCTAATGTTATGCGATGTTACTTTTTAAATTTTATTTTATTTAATCTTAAACTCCAATTACACACATAATTTGAGTTAAATTGTTTATTACGTCGAAATAATTGCGGTAGAAACATTATTCTTATTGACGTTGTAAATTCTTCTAATTTAATAGAATTATTAATCAATAGTATTAGTTTCAGCAAATAACGGACAAATTATATTAGTGTACTTTATATTTATAATAAAAAGACTGACAAGTAGAACTTTATCATTCCCTTAGATTGTGTTGATAATTTAAAATTAAAGGTACGTCTATAATTCATCATCATCATCATCTCCTTATCCTACTCCCGTAGGGTCGCCGCAACAGGTTTTTGTCCTCCACATAACTCTATCATACGTCATCTCAGTCATCACTCCCTTTTTGATCATGTCACCAATCCATCCATCTCTTTCTAGGTCTACTTCTACCGATGTACCCTTCCACACTCATAACTAACGTTCTCCTTGTAACATGCGATTCATCCCTCCTCATAACATGCCCATACCATGCTAACCTTTTACTCCTAACCTTCTCTACTATGGGGGCTACTCTCAAACTTCCTCTAATATACTCATTTCGTATCTTATCCATTCGTGTTACCCCACACATCCATCTTAACATTCGCATTTCTGTCACATGTAGTCTCCTTTCATCCGTCCCTTTCACTGCCCAACATTCAGATCCATACATCATGACAGGTATAACGACGGCCTTGTAAATTTTCTCCTTTAATTTAAGTGGAATTTGAGGGTCGCATATTACTCCTGTGACCTGTCGCCATTTCATCCATCCCGCTTTTAAAGGTACGTCTATAATTAAGTGCATAAAAATCTAAATTTTTGTGTCCTAGGTAGGTAATAGGGTCTATTGTAAATATTAAAAGTTTTGATAAATAATAAACTTAAGACTATATACTACTATTATAACTTGTATCAAGAGTACCGGTGGATCGGTTTTAGCACTTGTCTTGTAGTCACTTGTATTGTGTGTGCTGGTCCTGGGTTCGAATTCCGCCATATAACCATGTAATTTTTTCCCGAATTTCGTTTGTACATAATTTACCAGACATTTCTACTTTGAAGAAAAACATTTTGATGAAACCTGCACATATGTGTGAAGTCAACCAACAAGCAGTGAGGCAGTGAGGTTGACTAAAGCTTAGTCACCCTCCACGGATCTGCTCGGGCGTACGGTTCCAGCGGGGTCGTACCGCATGATGCAACGTAGTGGTGCCGCGGAAGCTGTGGGATCGATACTGGTTTATCCTGCCCTCTCGCAGACCTCTTGGGCGTCTATTCCAGGAGGAGTTTTGGGGAGGCTAGCCCTCTCACCACAGGAGCAGCTGCTGCGGTGACTAGCGCAGTTGGGGCCGCGGATGAGTGCGGATAGCGTACCCGTAGGAGGCTGGTTCCTCCTACGCATTATGGCGGTGGTTTAGTAAAGCATTCTCCTCGAAAAAAAGGCCTCGTCACCCTACTTCATGGTAAGCTCAGTGGGGACGTAGATATAGTGAGCTGGTGATAATGATGGTGATCCTTCTGTCTACAATACCGTATTGGTTTAGATCTATGAATTTAAAAAGAAATATTAATAATTTAAATCGAAAATAATTGGATATATTTTTATGAAATCTGTTATGGAAAGTGAAATTCGGTTTTTTTAAAAAAAAGGGATACACATCCCTTAGCGCCGCAGCCACAAACCATAGAGAAGCGGTGCTGCCATAAAATAATTACTATTTTCTACTAAAAAAAAATACATTTAACTACAAACTGCGAAAAGTTCAGAAAAAGCAATTTATAGTTATTTATAAACATTCGAACAAATGTTACTTTTTAATAACATATTTCTTAAAAGCCTTGGAATTTTGCTCGCGATTTTAGTATAAGGAACTAGAACTCTGTGGTTTAAAAAATCGATGAAGGCACCGGCAACCACTGGTAACCCTGTATTCATTACCCTGCCTCTGTCATTTTTATTCGTGAGCGTGAGCCGGTGGCTGCATACTGACGTAGGAGGAGTTCATTTTAATTATCAATAAATATAGAAAATGGACACGAGAAAATTAGCGGAAATATTAAGGGCAACTATTGACCCTAATCAAAGGCAGCAAGCTGAAGATCAACTGACACAGGTAATTTTAAATGATCATCCACATGTTCAGCATATTTATAACACAACCAAATTCAATAGTATGTCTTACGAGCGACACCCTTTTGTGTTCTCCTTCATTTTGACAAACTACTGAATCCGTGACTTCACTGACTTCCTCGTGTATTCGTATTATAACATGCCGCGCTGGTATGGTTAGGTATTTGGCGTGTTTATGCGTTGCTTTATCTAAATACTTACTTTTAATTTATGGAATTGAATATAGTAACACGCTTTCAATACTACTATCGATTTGGAACCGACATTAACATTTCTATAATTGCCATATGTTTAACCATACCCTACGAACCTGGATGGTTATTTGACTGCAAATAATTAGCGAAGTTAAAATCTATCTATAATAAATATTTATTACTTATTAATCGTCTTCGTTTTTGAAAATAGGAATTATATCGTCTACTGAATGTAATATGAATTGGAAATCGATTTATCTATACCTCAGTATATTATCAAGATTGATAATTTTTCAGTTTAGTATTGTCTAGAGAGCTTTTACCTCTCTTACTATAATATATCCGCCCTTGGTAAATTCGCGATCTTAGTCGTAAGTTAGAATTAATTTCTGCATACCAAACAGTAAATGACCAAAATTACAAATATGTTTATTTTCTTGATAGCATGGTATTTTTTTATTGTAACATTTTTACTTTAGGAGATTTTAAATATCTGGAGAATCTCAAAGTTACCTACCTTGCCTTACCTTTATACCTAGCATACTTGATGGTGTTCTTATATAAATAAGAGTATCTAGAAAACTTAGATATTCCATTTCAGTTGCTATATATACTTTACCACTGGTACTGAGGTAGTAGTTGATGGCCTAATTCTCCTTAGAGTATGACTAATGGGGACAGAAATAAACTGTTTTGTGTTTGAATCAAGACATAATTGAAAACAAAAATACAATTTATTCTAGTATGTTGGGTAGCTGAGTGTTTTGTACTGAAAACTACTCAACAATTTCAAAAGTTACCTTAGGCATCACACTGTTACTTTGTGAAGTAAAGAATTATGATTACTTTGAGAATACTCACTTGCCACCATGGATGTTGGTGTCTTGTACATTTAGAAAACTTCCTCTCAAATAGATAACTGTTTTAAAACTTACCTAAATGTAAAATAAATAAAAGAAGTGAGACATTTATACAAAACAGTACAGTTTGATTAATATATGGTTTTAAATAATGACTTCATATCTTTCATGCACATAGGATCTATTTATTCCTTTGTTCCCCAATGCCACATAAAAAATATGCTAAACCAAATGACGACAATTCTTATTTGGTTTTCAAAAGTCTTGATTTAAAAAACATTTATGTGCAGACATTGAGGCTTTTTTCTTTTGTGCAGACATTCAGTTTTTTCTTTTGTACAATATAACAAAAGGATGTTTATTAATATAATTTTTCAATAGTTTAATTTACATGGAAACAGACAACCAACTTTGAAATAGCATTATTATTCGGCAACCTGGCTTTATATAGCTGAATAAAATTGTCTGTATGTAATATGGAAATAAAATTTTCTGTTTTTTAAATCTTTATCTGTCTACCTGATTTGGTTTGGATGGAGGAAATAATTTTGTTTCAATGTGTGCGTATTTAGTATATTGAGATGTGAAGGAATATTTTAAATGTTCACTCCCATGTTGATACAGTAGTGGGACAGTACAGTAGGTACAAGGATTATTTACAAGAAATAATACGATTTATGGTTTTGTTTGCAATACAGTATAGTTAAACAATAAAATATGTACATAAAGTTTAAAATATTACTAGATATGTCTTGTGTAAGATTTTTTATTCAAAATACTAACATTTTGCTATCTGAATCCATGTGTTTATTTAAGCTCACATTTTGTAGTTATTTTAATAGCGTATGTATTCTCTTAAAACTTAACATACAATATTTTACAGATACACAAAATTATTGGATTTACACCATCACTGCTTCAAGTTGTGATGTCAAATGATGTACAAATTCCAGTCCGGCAAGCTGGTGTCGTATTTCTGAAAAACCTTATAACATCAGTATGGCAGGAAAAGGAGGCTGAAGAAGGTGAACCTATACCATTTAGCATCCATGAGCAAGACAGGGCCATGATTCGAGACATGATTGTTGATGCTGTCATTCAAGCACCAGACATTATCCGAGTTCAATTGTGTCTTTGCTTAAAGACCATAATCAGACATGACTTTCCATCACGTTGGACTCAAGTGGTTGACAAGATTCATATCTATTTACAAAATCCGGAAGCAAGTGGATGGATGGGAGCCCTGTTATGTCTCTACCAACTTGTGAAGTGCTATGAATACCATATAGCTGACAAGAGAGTGCCACTCATGGAGGCTATGAATTTATTGCTACCAATGATGTATAACTTAATAGTAAACCTCCAGCCTGATCAATCAGCTGATTCTGCGCTCATACAGAAACAAATACTTAAATGTTTCTATTGTCTTATAAAGGTAATCTATTTTAATTA